TTTTCAGCTTTCACCTTTCAAAGCTTTTTGCTTTTCTGGCTTTTTGCCTCAAGTCATTTTGGCTTCCTTTGGGCCCCTGTGCCTTCTATGTGTTCAATTCGCTTTTATGCACTTATTAATTTGGCTAATTCTGTATTATTCTCTTATACTCCTGCCATCTTAATTCTTAACTTTTGCATTCAGCCTTTTCTTTTTGCAGTGTTAAAAAATCAAGGCTGATTTACCCGTCTTAGCATTGTTAATTTTCCGACTACCAAGAGTAGTCTGCTCAAATTATGTATGCTTCATCTTTTTTTTTAAACTTTTTTTTTGTAAATGGTAAGGAGTGTTGTATATTCACATGTTTATATCTGCCTATAGTCATGCTTTCTGCTGCTGCCCTGTCAGCGCCACCTATCGGCTGTATACTTAGGCTTCAGAGGTTTCCTCTTACATGTTCGCACAAATTCCTGTCACTCCTGCTTATCCATTCGTTAAGAATAAACCAAGCTAGCCCACACCTGCCTCGTATTATTCCTCACCAAGAGACTCAACTACAACAAACGGGAAGAGACACACAGAGAGAAGGGATGTAAAAGGACACAGCGGGACATGCACGTGTGCGAAGGGAGGGACATTATAAGACACTTCAGTGATGTCCCAGGGAGTGAGAATTCGGGAAAAGACCAATAATGACACATAGGGACACATACAAATCAGCCTTGTCCCCGCTTGTCTTTATCCTCGCCAGAGCTCTGTGCACCTGGCACTCTTCTAAAAACGCCATGGTCTGCTTTACATTAAATTCAATGATAATTTTGGGCGCACCTTAGATAGAAAAAAAGAACAACTAACAGTTAATCGCCAGTATAGTTATAACATGATTTGCAAAATAAGATGTGTGGACGAAAATCATCTTACGAGGTGGTCCGGCGCTTGACCTGTGAGTAGGACCCTTGGAACCTGCACCTAAAATGAAGCATCATTTCAGAAACCATGCAAAATTCTAGGCAAAATTCTCATAGTGACAAACAACTGTGGACACGAAACAAGTGCAACCAATCTAACACTAACCCTGCTGGTCAAGAATCAGTCTTCGGGCAGCAGGCAAAACCTGTTGAGCCTCAGGCTGAAGGCTAGGGGTTGCCCACTGTCGAGGCAACACACCTTTTTCTTTTAGACTCTTTATGAGTCGAAATCTTCGAATGTGGTCTACAGAAATTGAAAAAAAATTAATGATACTTTTCACATTAAAGACTGACAAATACGGATATACAATAACGACGAACCACAGGTTATTAAACCCAACGGTATTCCCCTCTACTCACCAACATCGAGGGCTGCGCATAAATCTGGGGCGATTTTTAAAACGTACACATTTCCAGTCTCAACGTCACACACCTCGTAATCACGCGCATTATTGCTCATCTTGCCCTTCTAGTATTAATAATAGTAGAAAGTTCACAACTAGCACCATGCTTTTCCCGCCAGCACGAACAACTCCAACTTCAACGTGCTTCGACCCGGGAGTAGCTTCAACAACGACGGAAACGCAAGACCAGCGACGAGGAACGAGTCAGTATGAGAAACTAAACAGAACACGCCGAGAGCACCGCCCCCCACTCCCACCCTATCGCTTCCCAGCCATCGCTCTGGCGCGTCCGCTTACGCTTACGCTTAAGCTCTTGCATAAGCTCTCGCATATCGCAGCTTTAGTGAATATAGCAATGGAATGGGATGATGACTCTTCAAAGAAGAATGTTGGAATTATCGACTGTTAGTATGTCATTAATTCACTATTATTTTGTTAAGATTGACTTTTAGTAGTTGTTAAGATTTATTCGCATGTTGGTATTAGTTTTTGCATGATTTTAGTTTCGTAGGTTGGTAACAATTTTCAGACTGTGGAGCGTCACTCCGGTGTAGGATGTAGAAGTGTACGGACGTGTTGTGTGTGTTGTGACTGTTGAAGAATTACAAATAAACTGATTACTGTTACTGTTAAACACTGAGCACTGAATTTCCCTCTACCTCTGACAGGTTATGGGCCCAGATATGTTGGAAATTTAGTCAGTAATCAGTTATTAGAAGGAATTCTGTGTTGAGAAGACCTGTTGCACAATCGAGGAGCAAGTGCTGAGTGCAACAAGTGCAAGATTTAAGATTGAAGATTTAAGATTGAAGATTGAATGATGAACTTGTGATTTTTCTTGTGGTGATTTTCAAGATTTTCAAGATTTCGTGGTGTTTCAAGATTTTCTGTGGTGTTTCAAGATTTCCTGTGGTGATTGAGATTTTTGAATGATTGAATGAACCTACTACCGGCAGTCATTCTCTAAGATTTTGTGGTGCTTGTGGTGAACTTTTGTGGTTTTAAATTGCAAATTGTGGTGGTGCAACGATTGAAGATTGTTCGAGAAGAAGATTTGTGGTGATTTTAATTCAAGATTGTTTCAAGATTGTGATTTGAAGAGGCGTTAGATTTTGTGGCGTCGGTTTGGTGCTCAACAGTTGTGAGAGGAGCCCAACTTGGCGCGCAACCTCAACGGTCGGAGCTTGGTGTTCCCTCTACCTCTGACAAAGAAGAATACCATTTCAAAGCTGAAAGAATGTGTTCGGAAACAGACAAGTCTTAAATGCCTGGAATATGTCCAAGAGCATTTTCCAAGGGAATACCTGGAGATTGTTAAGGGAGAACAGGCCAAGAGGAAGGCTAAACCCTCCAAGAAGAAGATAGCAAGCAACCATGAGAGCCCATTGAAGAGAAAAGAAAAAACTAGTCCTGCAGGAAATGATAAATTGAATAAAAGCTTGACTGAAGATAAGTACTAATAACTTTAAGGAAAAAAAATGTTCTTGTCTTCCCTATATAATTTTAAACCTGTTTTAATCAATGACAATTACCTGTATTTCTCTAATATATCATTGTTTTTTTTTAGTTTTACTTGTGATTGTACAAAAAGTACTGGTGAATGTTATTTTTTGTACTTACTTTGTTCTTTGTGTACGTTTCACACAAATCATTTTAAGTATTTGCTACCTGATCAAGCTTTATGTAAGCATGTACTGACTACTTATTGCCGAATAAGAGTTCCCAAAGAGTGTTTTTATTTTGAACAAATAATTTTAAGTGTTCGCTACTTGCTCAAACTCAATTTCTATTAGTTGTGAAGTCTTAAAGATCTTTTTTTATTTTGACCAAATAATTTCAAGTATTGAATTGCTATTACTCAAGCAGCTTTATAAGCATGTACATGACTAATTTGTTAAAGTTCCAAAAGAGTGTTTTCATGTTATCTTGTGATATTACTTTCAGAAAAGCATTGAAATATGTAAAGTTTATTTCATAAGCTTCTTCTATTCAAAACCATTGAATGTTCTGGTTTATTTGTTCCCTATCCGTTAACCTTTTCATTAGCTCAGGGTTCAGGTACAGAGAGGAGTCCTCTGGACGTCTCCAGGATGGTAGGTCGGCCCATGGACGCTCGTGGGGAGCTGGGTACATCTTCTGGACGTCTCCGGGACGGTAGGACGGCCTATGGACGCTCGTGGGGAGCTGGGGACATCCTCTGGACGTCTCCGGGACGGTAGGACGGCCTATGGATGCTCGTGGGGAGCTGGGGACATCCTCTGGACGTCTCTGGGACGGTAGGGTGGCCTAGGGACGGCTGGACGCTCGTGGACGCTAAGACGCCCTAGGGACAGTTGGCTGGACGCCCTTGGGGCGGCTGGACGCTCGTGGACGGAAGACGCCCTAGGGCCGGTTCGCTGGACGCCCATAGGACGCCACGTCACATTTGGGGGCGCCCGAGGGACGCATGTCTTGCGACGGTCCGATGGACATCTCTTGGACGCCTGTCCGAGCGTCGCCCTAATTTGAACCATTTGGACGTCCGAAGGACGTCTTTCCTAGGCGTCCAATAACCGAACTATAGCCGTCCTAATCATTACGCGAGGGCTCTTCTCAGTAAACTTATAACAGCAGGTGTTGCTTGTGATTATGCTGTCATGTCTGGTTACATTTTCAGGACCACTTTCTTAATTTTAGTAATGATTACTTAAGATCAAAATTAGATCTTGGTGAGGAGGAGCAGGCGGCCTTGACTGCCTCTGATCCTTCCAATGACATGACAATCGTAAAGGTAATAGATAGTAAATTTTTGATTGGTTTTTACTTTAAATCTGAATTACTGAAGTGTGTGCTTGTTTGCAGTTTCAAACAGTTCTAGAGGCAACAGAAGCTTGCAGGATTCAGGCTCCATATGGAAAGTACAATTTGAAGTTAAATCAAATTGAAGAAGCAGTTGGTAGTGCCACTAAAGATGACAATAATATTAGATTTTCAAAAGATATTTCCATAATAACCAATCCTGCACAGACTTGGAATAATGACAATAATGAGAAGATTTTGACATATGACAGTGAGAAGTCTATAATGAATGAAGATGAGATAATAAATAAGAACAAAGTCTCCTTAAAGGCTTTTGGGGGTGATATAATCTTCTTCTAGGCATTGATTGAATGCAAGAATCTTTTTAAGGATACACTCGCAATTATCATACAGGATTTGCCCGGCTCTTGGTAGAAATCGGAACGGAAATTGACTCTGACATACCTACCATCACTAAAAGAAGAAAGCATTTTCTTGACATATTTTTTTTTATTATTGTTGTAACTACAACCCCAAAGAGCAGAGCTCCATAATCGGGGCGACAATATGGTCACAAACTAACTCATGGTTGGTCATTTGCAAATACTTCAGCCTCCTCTCTTTACCCTTGAGTAGGGCAAAACTATTTTCTACTCTGGTTCGAGTTGCTGAGCTGAGTGAAGGAAATTGTGGGCTCTCTGACGAACTGTCATCTGACCATTGCGATATGGTGTTAGCATCTGTAAAGAAATGCAGTCCATAAACAAAAAGCCACAAAGCAATAATCAAATTGTATAAAAACAAGGTGCATAGAAAGCACAATTGAAAGACTACCTTGCTAGTTAGAGTGTAGGCACCATCACCTAATATATGCTCCTCTGCTGAAAGAAGGTGAGGGGAAGTCAGCAAATTAACACTTAAAGCACTCCTATCAAAATTACGACTGTCACCTATGCCCCCAACCTCACCAACGTAAAAGTCACGGTACAAGAGTTTGTGGTTACAAACTGCTTGTGCCAACATAGAGTAGTGGTGATGCCTATCTTGGAACCGGGCTGGCTGCTCTAATGGTGTCTGGATAGGAAATAAGACTCCATCAATGGCACCAACGACCCCTGGATAGCCATGCCTTTCCTTAAAATCAGATTTAATTTCTTCTTTCTCCAAGGCATCTGGCCATTTGATGAATCTTGGAGCCAAAGCGGCTAATGCCTCTATTATATAGGCATAGTGAAAATGCATGCCTGCTCTACGTTGTTTAAAGTGGAGACCTGAAGTCCGGAAAGTGTCCGGATTAAAGATGGGCCAAACTGCTCTCTGGATGCATAGATCAAGAGGAGTGCGAAGCCTTATAAGCTTATTATTTTCCCTCAAGTAGATTCCAATTACAACAACAAGTTTCTGAAAAAAGAAGAAGTAAACAGTTGTTTTGAAATAACAAGTTGAGAGTTACCCCAAATTCACCAGATTTGAGGAAGCTCTTGCCTGGAAAACAAGTTGGTCGGTCCGAAAGTGTTCTCGGAACGACGTATTTGACATGATACGAAAACCGTCAATATCGACATCAATTAATTCTTTACGTCTTTCTCCTGAAATGTATCAAAGTTACGATTAACAGGGCTGTATCAGCTTAAGCGAGTGCTGTGCGACAGCACAGCAACAGCACTGGCCCCGAACACCCGATTTTCCCAATAAATACTTCTATTTCCAATCAAAATAATCTCAAGGTACAAAATTATGTATTTTCCGAATCCAAAAAGTGTAATAACGCTACGATATCGGAAATGTGAAGGACTGTAGGCAGGACGGCAGGGCGCGTTGCGCGCGCCATCTAGCGAGGGAACGCGAGCTTATGTCGGTGAGGTGAGCTGAGCTCGTTGGTGCGCTTGGGGATATGGCGTTAGCGAGTAGGGGAGTAAGGGAGTGGGGGAGTAGGGGAGTAGGGGAGTAGGGGAGAAGGGGAGTAGGGGAGCTACTCCCCTCGAGCTGTCTGCTATTGCGGTTCACATTCATATTCGTGTTGCAAAGCCGATCTGAGAAAACATTAGAGCAGCGTTATTGGTATTTTCGGCGCCGGCGGGCATGGCAAGTGAAAGATAGGCGTAGACGAAGAAAACGAGGGAGTCATTGCGACATTGGCAGGCAGTAAGCAGCTCATCCGAAATTATCCTAAAAAACTACTGAACAAATATGTTCAAAACAGGCCGCTTAAAACGGAAAAGTGGGGAGGTGTATAAAGTGCGAGCAAGCAACACTGCAGCAGAACTTTTGAAAGCAAGTAAGTGTAGGCTATTATTAATTGACAATAATTCATAATTCATCCTTTTTACACTTTCCTAGTATTTTTTTGTGACTTGCGATATCTATTTAATTTTTTCTTTTCCCAGGCTACAGTAATGTTTTGAGTGTGACGGAAGCCATAGCAGGGATTCTGTCAGCAAACTGTGTGCCATTGGAGAAGCAGTCAACATTAACATTCACTGTAGAGACAAACAGTGATGGTATGTATTGTGATGACTTGTACTGATAAGCCATGTAACTTGGAGAAACATTTACTTCTATTGTGTATTTTCAGGCAATTTTGAACTGTCCGTCCCAGAGTTGCCAGCGGTACCAGAGAGTCCTTGCTCACCTGCAGCAAAGAAAATTATGTGTAAGAGAGCAATCATTACTTTTAAATATTTAGGGCTTTTATTGCCTTCTTGTTCCACACACAATTTGAAAGACAAGTATCACTCTTTCCACAGTGTCGCCATCTGCTGGTCAAGCCGCTTCATCAGACATATCGTCCAGCACGTCATCAGTGAGGAAGGCCCTGGACATGGGCGAAACTTCAACACCAGGACTGTCATTATTTGCCGAATTAACAGGTATATTTCAATCCCAAACTTATCAGTTGGTTTTTCTGTTATAAAGCGTGATGCTACCAATCCAAACTTGAGGGTTCTGCTGGTATAAAACTAATATGGTTGTAACGTTTTCAGAGCAAGTGCACGAATCGGTAACTAATGATGAAGTGTTAGAAGAGATTGAGAACAATGAACCTCTTGTATTAGAAGAGATTAATAACAATGAACCTCCTGTATTAGAAGAGATTAGCAACAATGAACCTCTTGTAAAAGAAAGGCTGAAAACAGTTGTCATCACTGACATCTCATTTGATGTCAAGCCTGTAAGTTTATGTGTTAAAATGTGTATACATGTGGGTACTGTTTTATTTTTATTTTTCCATTTTTTTGCAGGATAAACTTTCAGATTTTCTGAGCCAGGCAGCATGGGATTTTGATATTTTGCTTAAGCCTGAAAAGGCTGTCATAGATTTATTTTGGATAGATGATAATGAAATGATGCAAGGATTCAAAGTAGAGGTAAGAATGTAATTATGCCCATGAACAGGTGCAATGAAAATGTATAAAGATCAATTCTAATTGTTTGTGTTATGTTTTACTTTTCTTGAAGTTTCTGAGTACATTTGTGGCTACAAGAATGAGTGATCTAAAAGAATTGCTCTTTGAAGATAATTATTTGCCTTTCTTACAAGAGCAGACTGTGTTCAGAAAACCAGTTGTTTATCTAGTTCCAAGCTCATTTGAAATTGTTAAAAACTTACCTACCAAATTCTTTTTGCCGGTAATGTTTTAGTAATGCATATTCTTCCTTATTGTAGTCAGTAAATTGTCAATGTCGTTATTTCACCCATGAAATTTGTTTCACACAGGCACACTTCATTGATCATTTAAACACAACAGCTTGGCTTCAAGACTTAGGCCCAGCAGAGGACGAAAGTGTTGTGACTCAGCTAATAAAGGAAGATAACAGTTCCAGTGGCAGAATTCAGGTAAATATTGGTGTGTTCTTTAGGCAAGTGGTTTAAGTCTGTACTTTACTGGTAACATTTGTGATAATGTCATGACAGTTCATTGATGCAGAAGTTGCGAAAAAGATGTGTGCACAGACCATCACTTATGACCACCACAAAATTGAAATGGTTCAAGAAATGGAGCAGGCATCATCTCTGTCACCAATGGTGACAATTTCTAACTTGCCCCAAAATTTTTATGAGGTAATCAAACTTCCATTAAACCCAAGTAGTTACCTATCCCAAGGATAGAAATTTGTCTTGTGATGTCATTTGATGTCATCATGACAATTTGCTATCCTGTTTGGGATGTATAGTCTTCACCTCTAGGTGTCATAAATAAAAATAAATAATGTTCCTAAGATGTTAATTGTTACTGCTTACAAGAAATGCTCTTGTTCCCTCAGGCACACTTCTGTAATTTTATGAAAGATTTGGGAGAACTTGGTTTAAAAGATCCTGTAAATAGTTTACTTTCTGTAACAAAGTACAGTGAAAGTGAGAGGTCTTGCGTTGCAAAGGTAAGCAATTTTTCATTACAACTGTAGCCATCACTGTGATAACTGTTTATTTGTGTTGATGTCAAATATCCTTAATGACCATCTGTTATATTGAATCTAAAAGCTCACTAACTTTAATTATTGCTTTAATAATCTCTATATTTAAGAATATGTGTTCTTTATTGTGACAGTTTACCACTCCTGAAATAGCAGCTAAAGTTTGTGAGATGCCCGAAAAGTATGATCGCTGCGAGCTGAAAATGGTGCAGCATGTAGTGCCATCCGATGCACCAGCCGTAACAGAATCAGTTAGAGTGTCAAACTTGCCCAAGTCTTTCTATCAGGTATGATTTTATTTTAAATAAACAATAACTGTGGTATAAAAATATGACACTTTGCAAGTTAAAAAGGAAACTTCCATCTTTGTTTTTGTGGACAGGCCCATTTTGAAAACTTTTAAAAGGATATGGGAGACTTGTACAATATTTGTGCGGACAAGGTTGTGCAGGACATAAAGAGCTACAAACCAGCTGAAAGGTCTTGCATTGTTGAGGTAAACATCTCAGTCAGTTGTGGGGCCTACAGTACTTCTTATTACGATTCCATATTTTAACTTTTTTGTCTCCTTCTCTCTGCGTTTTTGTTTCAGTTCTCTTCTCCTCATGTGGCCATGAAGTACATAGGCATGACACCATTTGTCTATGGAAAGTGTAAGTTACTACTGGAAATGGTACCTCATGATGATGGAACATCATGAGTGGAAATGATACTGAGTGGACTAATGCTAATGGAGAAGATAATAATGATGATGAAGAGAATGCTGACATTGACCCTCTTGACACACCTACTAAAGCCGACTCTTTAAGGGGTGAGCGGGAAACAAAATTATTTTTAGATCTTTGCAAAGATCTCATCAACAAAAGAACAAAAAAAATTGTTGCGTCAGGAGCAAATTTTGTTATCATCTCAGACACTTTAAGAACAGTGCACAACATACAAGTCTTTGAAAGCCAATGTAGGGACCGCTTTAAGGGTCTGGCCAAGAATTACGTCGATGAAAAGAAAAAGGTAAAAACTAAGTGGGCTTACTTCAATGACATGGCCGTGTTGAAGGGAGATCAGACTAGGGTTCTTCAGCAGAAAAGTCCTAAGAAGATTCTTGCCACTAAAGCCAAAGTCATGAACTTCAAGCCTCAGCGCCACTCAAAGAAGGCTTCTAATGGGGGTTATCAAAAGAAGCGTCGGCCGACCGGCCGACCGGCCGGCCGTCCGTCCGTCCGGCCGGCCGGCCGATTTTCATGCAACGACAGCTAGAGCTTCGAAACTCACCGAAAGTGTTGCTGCTGTTTTGTATTACCGAACCAAAAGCTACTGATGATAACGGTGATGAGTTTACTTTTAAAAAGAAGTTCGAATGGTACCGCCAGAGAGCGCTATGGCAAGTGTCAGTTGGAGTCGATGTGGCCGTGCTTGTTTCCCCCGTTCATACTTGAATGCCACTGCTGCCCTGACTGGGAAAATTACGCGTTGGAAGAAACGTTCGTTAGTTTCTGTCGCTGTGATCATTTGACGGTCTGCGAAGAACAGAAAGATTTCCAATTTCATCAATGGATGACGATATTCTTCTGAACATGATTGCTGTCGCGGTCCACATAGCTGTCGACAACAATAACATTGACGCTGTCGTAAACATTCCTGGCAACTGTGAGTACTTCTTTTTTTTTTTTGTTAATATTTGATTTATGTGGTGTGTACCGACTGAGGTTGTGGTTTCTCTTATGTCTGCTCCACGCTTCGTTTGAGCTTTCATAAACTATTATGGCACTGTAATCGTATAACTCTAAAATTTCCTATCTTTGATGCAGACTATGCGGAATTACCTCAGAGGCCACCATCTGTTGATATTGAGGGTTGGAAAAGATTGGGGGACCCAACATTCAAGAAGCAGTTCCGCATGGATCGAACATTGTTTGAGGTAAGCAAATGTACTTAAATACCTTCAGTATGAGTCAATTGATACGCTTAACATCTGATTGTCTCTCTAATTATTACAATTTCTCAACAGGTGCTTGTAGTAGAAGTTGGAACGCATATGGCAGCAACCAATCGTTTAATCCGACAAGGGAAGCCAATTGATGAAGCCCTCATGAACACAATATGGACTTTGGCGAATCCTGATTGCTTCAGGTCAACTGGCGGTACTTTTGGAGTTTTAGGTGGCTCTATTCACAATCAGTATAAGACCATGATCCAAGTGTTGGAGGAGCTAAAGTCAAAATACATCAGATGGCCCTCTGCTTTAGAACAAGAAGTGATTGCCAGAGAGTTGTATGGATATCCAGGTGTGATAGGGTGCATTGATGGGTCTTTCATCAGCACTTACAAACCCATGGATGAGCCACAACGCTACATTAACAGGCACCATGAGTATAGCGTCATAGTTCATGCAGTTTGCGACCACAACCTCTTGTTTCGTGACATTTATGTGGGTGAGCCAGGAGGTGTGGGGGATGCAAGGACATTCCAAAGGAGTCCCCTTTTCCAAACTATGGTCACTCGTCCTGAGCTCATGGATGATAAGCATCTTTTGGGAGATGGTGCTTATCCACTTTTATCCCAGGTGTGTAACATTGTGTCAATAATCCCTATGTGCCGTTTAATTTGGGAAATGTCTCCTTACTCATGATGTCTTGTCATTTACCAGGTCATTACACCTTACCGTGATTTGGGAAATCTTACGCAGCGTCAAAGGCACCACAACTATTACCTTTCAAGAACTCGAGCATGCATTGAAAGGGCATTTGCACTCTTGAAAGGTAAATGGCGCCGGCTCAAGTTCTTCCCATGCTACCGGATAGAGTATCTGATAGACAGCATTGTGGCTTCAATGGTTCTCCATAACTTCATCATCCTGGAAGGCAGGGCTTATGAAGTGAGAGCTAATATTTGCTTAGCAGTATAATATATTACAATTAGAATGAATTCTGCAATGTATTCTTTTATGGTTTGCAGGAGGATGATAATCCTATTGAACCAAACATCAATGTACCCTTCAATGACTTGTTTGAGGAGTCCAGGAGGCTTGGCATACTGAAAAGGGAATACATTTCAATTGAATTGACTCCTGATTATTAGTTAGTAGTGAGACCAGATCATTCAGACCTGCTGTTGGATTGTACAGGGTTTAATTGTCTGGGCATTATATTGTATTGTTTAGCAATATGTTAAAGAAGACACCTTAATTGTTATTTTTGATTTCTTTAAGAAAAAGATTTTTAATACCACGTTGTTACTAGTGTTATAAATCAGTTTTGTTAAACAACATATTGTCTATGTTAACCTTAACACATTAACAGCAGAACAAGCAAACATTACAACAGAAAATTAAATATCAAAGAAAATAAAACATGTTATATATCAAAACA